GATCCAGCTGTTCACTTGGGAGTCAAGAATCTCTGCTTCCATGTCTCGGGTCTGGTAGCATAGCTCTTCTCTCTACTGTAATATGTTCTTTGTCTCTCTGTCTGTCTGTCTGCCTGGCTAGCTATCTCTCCACCCATCTCCTTCTCTCTGTGTGTCTTTCTGTGTGTCTATCTCTCTCCTTCCCCTTTCTTTGCTCTATTTTTATTGTCCCATAAAGCCATTAATCCCAAATCAATATGGTCGTTTATCACTAAAAAGCTTCAGTTGTTAAGTTATAAATTCCCAAGAAATGGAGGGAGAAAAGAAGGGAGGGGGGGGAGGGAGGGAAGAAGGAAGAGAGGGAGAGAGACAGGAAGGGAGAGAGGAAGGGAGGGAGGCATGGAGGGAGGGAGGGAGGGAGGGAGAAAGAAAGGGGAGGGTGCCGAGACAGAAATTAGAGTAAAAGACCACTTGCTCCCAAAAGCTGATGACCTGGGTTTGATCTCTCAGGAACCAACTGTGGAAGGAGAGAGCCACTCCCCAAACCCACAGACACCTTTTTTTTTTCAGTCTCCCTAAAATATCCAATCTCTTTTTAATTTTTTTTATTTTTATACCAACCACAGTTTCTCATCTTTTTCTCCTCTTGCTCCCTCTCCCCACCTCCCTTCAAACCCTCTCCATCCACTCCTCTGTCTTCATCCAGAAGGGGCAAGGCCTTCTCCATGGGAGTCAACAAAGCATAGCAGATCGAGCTGACTAGAAAGTCTGTATCGTCTGTCAGCCAGCGGCTGCAAGGGCAACATAGTCAAACCATACATCCAGGAGCCGCACCATCTTTTGTCTTTTATGCATAAAACCCACACCTGTTTGAAACACTCTGGTCAGCAAGAATCAAGGTCAGTATATTTAGGAACTTTCCTGGACCCTGGAACTATGGGCCAGGTCCTTGATGGCTGTTGTTCCTATTTTGGAAGGTGTTGGTTCTAATAGTAAAGGCCTAGCACTTTCATTTACAGATATAATTATCCATGATTCAGGCAATTCTCCTAAAAAACAAATGAAATAATGAATCACAAAATTCTTTGATCATCCAAAGGATGTATTTTATTTATTTATTCTATAAAATGGATGAAAATTCACTATTACAGTGCCATATTGTGGTTGCAGTTAGCCCTCAACAAAGAATGGCTGTGTGGAAATCACACACAAGGGTCTCGGGATTCCAGAGCTGGAGTGTGAACCCAGCTCCGTAGGACACCAAGGCTGACAGCTGTGACCTCACTTACTAATGCCTATGACCCATTTTCTCCATTTTGAAATGGTAACTCATGTCCTGTGTCACTGTATGTTGGGAGTGTGTGATCTGCTTTTTTTTTATTTTTATTTTACAGGGGATTACAATTAAGAGATTGCATGAGTCTCAGAACTTTGAACTTTTAAGCAAGTTTGAGACCGTTATAGACTATGGGGACTGGACGCATTTCTGCATCATGGTATGGCTACATGCCGATGGGGCCAGGGAGTGGAATGTGGTGGTTTAGATAGGTATGACTCCCCATAGACTCATGTGTTTGCATTTCGGCCTATAGAAAGTGGTACTATTAGTAGTTGTGTTGTTGGAGGAAGTATGTTACTGTAGGAACTGGTTTTGTGGTTTCATATATGCTCAAGCCATGCCTAGTATGGCACACAGTGACTCTGCCTGCTGCCTGTGGATCAAGATGTAGAACTCTTAGCTCCTTCTTCAGCATGATGTCTTTCTGTGTGCCATCATGCTTTTCCACCATCATAATAATGGATTAAACCACAGTAAGCCAGCCCCAATTAAATGTTTTTTTTTTAAATAAGAGTTGTCATGGTCATGTTATCTCTTCACAGAAATAGAAACACAAACTAAGACCATATATAACCTATAGTAAAAACTCAACATAGAATGCAAAGCAAGAAAATGATAGAAAGTTTTATAGAGGAACAAAATTACTCTTCAGTATTCACATCTCAAAAGGTGGCCATCAAGAGTCTTCTTAAGGACCAAGAGTCCCCAGCCTTCCTTCCCTTGAGTCATCCCACTGGTACATTCAGTCCCTTCTCCATCCTCTCTTCATTATTCTCACAGCTGAGATTACCTGTCTGCAAACAGCTTCTTTGTCTAACTCTGAAAGCTTCAGAAGTGTTTGTATTATTCTCTCTGGCTTCAGAGAAAAAGGCCCGCCAAGTAGAAGCACTTAGGTGGAAAAAAACAGATCTTTCAGAATGCAAATTATAAAAACTCATTCTGTAGTCATATCAAAAGCCATCTCCTGCTGCCATCAAATGAAGTTGTCCCATCTGGGAGGGCTGGAGGTCTGCGTTTCCTATTCATTCCTCCCTTCCTCACACACCCAAGCTAGCATACACAAAAGCTGTGTCAACCAGTGTGATTCATAGGACTTTGTTGCCTGCTTTTGAACATGGAGAAAGGATAGGGATTTTGAGCTACAAACATTGCCTTGGTTTAAATATTTTTGTAAATGCAAAATGCAATAATATAGATGTTAGCATGTCTCTAATTATTACAATCCTTTTAAGGAGGAGTGATTATTTTGTACATGATAAGAAAAATAGCTCCACTGTCAACATCATCTCCATCTTTAATGCTCTGTATTTCGAGGTTACTGGATTTTCTTGCTGAGAACATTTTAACATACACCACCCTCAATTTTGGCTCTGCCCCACCTTAGGTGGACAGATTCTTAAACCCACATTGGTTTCCCATTCAAAGACAAGCAAAGTCAGTGGACTAATGATTATAACATTCTACTATCTCCTGTGACTGGGCAAAATAGTCTGGATTATACATTTATTTACGTATAAATATCACCCTGAGAGCTGGGTTATCTCAGCTGTATAAGTCTATTAAAATCCATTGACTTGAGGTTTGAAATTTGATTTTAGTTTAGTATTTATTTTATTTTTACCTATGTGACTTATTAAACACTTATGTATTTATTTTAACTTTACTTTTACTCATATCTTTTTGTGTATGTCTGTGCATGTGTGTGAAGGTGCCCATAGAGGCCAGAAGAGGGCACTGTATACCCTGGAGTTGGAATTAAGGCATTTGTGAGCACACTGATAATGGATGCTGAGAACCAAACTTGGGTCCTCTTCAAGAACTGCAAATTGTAGATGGAAGTTTCTGTCCTGCCCAGTCCCACAGCCATTCAGTCCCAACATAACACACAGAGGCTTATATTAATTATAAACTGATTGGTCTATTAGCTCAGGCTTATTATTAACTAGCTCTTACAACTCAAATTAACCCATAATTCTTGTCTACGTTAGCCACGTGGCTTGGTACCTTTTATCAGTGAAGCATTTTTATCTTGCTTCCTCTGTATCTGGCTGGTGACTACAGACTGAGCCTTTCCTCTTCCCAGAATTCTCCTAGTCTAGTTTCCCCACCTATACTTCATGCCTGGCCACTAGTCAATCAGTGTTTTATTACACCAATATGATTGACAAATCTTTATAGGGTCCAAGAGCATTATCCCACAGCAGCAAGCACTCCTAACAGCTGAGCCACCTAGTCTGGTGTTTTTCTTTATGGTGTACCAGCCTCAAGTATTTTGCTATATTAACAGAGAACTGAAGTACAAGGACTAAAAGTTGACTTACCTTTCTAAGCTGAGTTTAAATTTTAACTCCATCATATATAAGCCATGATGTTTTGAGCTAGTAGCGTCTCTCTTTACTCTTCATTTACTTTATATTCAAAACAGGGTGAATGTGTATAAATTTCAGCAACGTCAGAAGCCATAGGTGAGAGTTCCAGGTGGAATCTAGATAGAGCTCAGCAAGTAGTATACTTACTATCTTCTCTTGCTTTTCTTCTTTTCCTTTGTCTTTAATGTTCTACTACTTTAAGGGTAGAAGATGATTCAACAAAAAGAAAGGAGGTCATAGAAGGGTCCTATGGGACGTATTTCTGTTTTACCTTGTTAAATTTTAAACAGATTGTACTTTCAGAAATGACTGCCCTGCAAATGTACATCTTAAGTATTAAGTTTTAGAGTTATTTTTCTGTGTGTGCTAATGTGTGTGTTGTGTATGTAGAGCAGAAGTTGATATCAAGTATCTTCTTTAATTTCTCTCCACTTCATGAAATAAGGAAAGTCCTTCCTATGAAGCAGGAATTAGCTCATTTAGCTAGTCCAGCTAGCCAGATTGCCCCCGGCATCCCTTGTCTTCACTTCCTAAGGGCTGGAATTATAGGAGGACCAACGTGCTCATGGCTTTTACACAGGGTCTATGGATCCAAACTCAGGTCCCCATGTTTGCATGGCAAGTGCTTTACCACTGACATGTCTCCTCAGCCCCTGTGTCACTAATGTCTTAAAGCCTCTTTGCACTCTCTTCTAGTCAACCCTCTCCCCCAACTGTGATCCGCTATCCAGTGTTCTACATGTACCAGCTCCATGTGTTGCATTGCAGTAGTGATCCTCAGAACACAGTCTGTGGACCAGGTGCTTCAGCACCTCCTAGACACTTGTAGGAAGCACAGATTCTCAGCATCCACTCTCACGTGTACTTAGTAAGAATCTCTGGGAGAGAAATGCAGTAACTGGATTATAAAAACCTTTTCAGGTGATTTTTAATGTACACCAGAGCCTTAAGGTTAATACTTTGTGTGTGTGTGTGTCTCCAAACAGCAGATTATTTAGTAATACATGATTTTAACATTTATGTCAATGAAATTATACTTTCATGCCCTTTACTGCTTATTGATCTCTATATTATGTATTTGAATTCATTCATGTCCATAGATATACATCTAAGGCCATTCCTTTGCATCTCTTTAGAATTCATTGTTCAATAGATCATAGTTTATTTTTACCTTGCAGAGCTTCTGTGGGCAATGCTGCCAGAGCATCATGATTACTTGCCTGGTGCACCCATGCAGGGACATATTGCCTAGCCTTTACTGAGCATTGGAAAGCAATGATGTTTGTAAATGGGGTGAGCAGACTTCACAGGACTGGCCTTAGCTACTTTTTTATTGCTTTATCCAGATACATGACAGAAGCAACTGGAGGCAGGAAGGGTCCATATTTTTCATTATGGTCTCAGGGGCTGAAGTTCATAATAGCAAGAAAGGCATGACAGTCAAGACAGCTTCGCCCATGGTAGCTTTTCCACTAATGGCAGTGTCTCTATCATGGCAGCGTTCCCATCCAAGGCAACATCCCCATTCATGGCAGCATTTCCATCCATGGCTTCAGCTCCATCCATGGTGGTGGCCTTGTGAGGCAGTCGCTTCTCACATCTTGATAGACCAGGACATAAAGAGTTTGGGTCAGATGCAGAGCCAGACTGTGTCCCTCAAAAGCCTGCCAATGATGACCCAATTTTGCCAGCCATGCCTCTTGCTCTGAAAGTTCCACTATCTCCAAAATAACACTACCACCTGGAGAACAAATTAAAACACATAGTCAGGTGGTGGAGCATTCAGGAGGCAGAGGCAGACTGATCTCTGTGAGTTCGAGGCCGGTCTGGTATACAAAGTGACTTCCAGGACAGCCAGGATTGTTACACAGAAAAACTGTCTCCAAAAATCACCACCACCAACAAAAAACACCAAAAATCCTATGAGCCAGCAGGAATATTTCATGTCCAAACTATACCAGGGTCTGGGTGGTCTCTTGGGCTTGATTCTCTGAACTCTTAGCCAGCCATTATTTTATGTAAAGAGATTAGAAATCTTTAAGATGGTCTTGTAGGTGGGCATCCCAGTTGGCTTTGTTAACTGGCATAGACGAGAGAATCATCTCATCTTATAGATGGTTATCTGAACCCTCGTTTTCATGTCACCTTTTCTGCACATTTCCTCTGTGTACAAGGACACCTGTAATATAAGGTTAGGGTTCTCCTTCATTGCCTTGCTTTAGTGTGGACGTCTATAAATAACTGATTCCCAAATAATGTCATCAGCATGGACACTGGGACTTAGGACTTCAGTAACTGTTGGAACAAGACTGAATTCAGTTCCATCTATAACATACATGGTTATTTTCTAATGTTGAAACAACCTTCCATTGTTCTTTGACATGGTGTTGATGCACATTGTTGAGCTGAATTTGCTAACGTTTCATTAGATTTGCTTCCAGACTTCTGAGCTTATGGCCATCAGCGTGATTGCCTTGTGACCTTCCTTATTGGTGTCTCTTTGTCTTAGCTATGAACACTCTGGGAGATACAGCAGGCTTTAGGAAGTAATTCCTTTCTTTCTGTTTCCTACATTAAAGTTTTTATTGTGAGAATTTCAAACAAAAAGTAGAAAAAATAATATAAAATCTCTCACATGTTTAGTACATGGCTTCAAGAATGGACAATATGGTAGATTTCATTTTGTCTCTATAAAGACAAGTTTGAATTTTGTAGCAAGTCCTAGACATCTATCATTTTATACATAAATGTACCAGTGTTGTTTCTGAGTGATAATGTTTATCTTTTTATAATACAGCCACAATGTCCCGTGTGACACTGAAATTGCTTTCCACAGGGACAGACAAAGTCAGAAAAAGTCAGGTAAATGATTCCCGTCTGACAATTTCTCTGTTTTGTTATTCCCTCGTGGTCCATTTCATTTCATCTTAACTTATACTCATTGCCCCCATTAAATTATTTTGAATTAACTCCCAGGCATTATGTAGCTCTAATTTTAAGAGTTTAATATGAAGGCTGGAGATGACTCAGCAGTTAAGAAGGCTCACCACTCTTGCTAAGGACCTTAGTTCAGTTCCCCGTGCCCACCTTCGGCAACTCATAAGCACCTGTAACTCTAGTCCCAGAGGATCTAACACCCTCTTCTGGCCTCTTCAGAAAGGCACATATATAATTAAAAACAGACTCCTTCACGCAGTTCACACAGAAGATGTTGAACAACTTCTACAATTGTGCTTCGTCATTTGCTATCTCAGGCCCAGATGGCACCAAAGCCATCTGAAATCTTCATCCCAGCGACTGTGGTTCTGAAACGGTATGAAAGCTTTCAGAGACAACTGGCACTGAACCCTCTATTTTGGAAACTATAATTTGAATAAAATAATTTGTCATGTCATTTCAAAGAATGAAGTCAAAGCAGTCATGAAGCCTACCTTTCAAAACTGCTCAGTGACTATGGAACTTACACAAAACCCAGATAAACATCAGAAACATCGAACAAGGGAAATGTTCAATATTAAGTACCTTTTCCCTTATAATTGTGAAATACTTCTCAAAGGCAAAAACATTTTATATAGACTGTTATTAATTTCTTAAAATAAAACCTAGTCACAGTAGTAGTATTTGAAAAAAAAAAAACCCTTATTTTTCTTAACCCAGAATGAATCCACAGCCTCTCACTTCCTGTGAAACAAAAGCAAAACATCTTCTCCAAAATAAAATACCTTTTTACTTAAATGTTGAAGTCAAGGCATTTTCTGAAGGCGTAAGTCACAAACAATCCCACACCAGTTTGGAATTATGGTTAATAGAATGGTTATTTATTTAAAGGGGGAAACTTACAGATCACCATCCCAGACAACAGCCCTCTGCACAATCAGGAAAGGAACCTAGTCGCCAGAAGCAGAGCCAGAAGCCAGAGAGGGAGGAGAGGGAAGTAGCTGCTTTTTTAAAGGGAGAGAGACCACACCCCAATGGGCTGGTATCTCAGAGCTATTGGCTGAAGGAGCCGAAGGAGCTCCTGCAACAATTTTCAAAATATATAGGTTGGATTTATCCTGCAGCATTTATGATCAAATGTCTTTTAAGAGCTGTTGCTCCTTCCTCAGCAAACAATTCAACAACACATAACAACATACAGTATCTAGATTCTTTGTGTATTTTCCATTTTTTATGTGGAAGCCAAGCCAAGGCAGATGGGAGCTGGGAGCACTAGCTTTTCTCCCCAACCCAGGTGGCTAGGTTTGGGTCCAGCTCTGGCCTGTTCCTCAGGCAAATGGCTTTTATAATGAATTTGTACCACCTCACGTTGGGTGCGAAAATGAAGCATGATTAATAAAAGTGTGAGAGAGAAATCAGGATTCAACCTAAAGATCTGAAAAGCAAAGCAGCCAGCCACTGGCTCTTACCTCAACTTCTGTACAAAATGACGATCCTGTCTCCAGGAGTCTCAAAATGATACTGTGTCTGTGAGCTGTTTCCTCCTGTCTTATAATTCTCTCTATGGCTGGGGTTAAAGGTATGTACAATTGTAATTAAAAGCATGCACCACCTGGTTTCTATGGCAAACTAGTGTGGTAACTTGGATTAAAGGTATGTGTATCATTCCCTGGTCCATAAGGCTGACCAGTGGGGCTGTTTTATTCTCAGATCTTCAGACAAGCTTTATTAAAATACAATTGAAATACCAATGCAGACCATCCCTGGAAACAGAGTCATGACAGTTGTTACTTTTTAATATAAGGGCATGTAGAGTGAGGGGTTCCAACTGATGTAGTTGATAGCTTTGTGTGCAAAGAAGTTTGGATACAGACAGCTCCCAGGTAGGCAGTCATCTAAAGACAGTGGTATAAATCTGGAAGGAACATTACACATGGCTGACCAACCACCAGAGACCAACCACCACCATGAGCTAGAGGCATGGGTGTGTTTATTCTTTCAGCCCTTTGCAGCAAGGACACTTCTGCAAACTTTGATCTTGGACATCTAATATCCAAGTAAGGTCATACACACCTGTGGTTGAAGCCTTCCAGATTATGGAACTTTCTACTATGACTCTAGGAAGCCAAGTTATTTATTAAGTGAGATAGCAACCCATGTATGCCAGGGTAATGTGCAAGGATATCACAACACTGTCTCCCCAAGACTCATCATGACCCTGGGAGGCAAGCACGTTTGTTATCCCATTTTATAGATCATGGTACTGAAGCAATCTATAATTGGATGTTTCCTGTCCCAACCACCTATTCCCAAATACCTGGCAGCCGTTTACCACAAAGAAGCTTATATTAATTATACATTCTCAACTGATAGCTCAGGCTTATTACTAACTAGCTCTTACATTTTAAGTTAACCTATGTTCCTTATTTATTAATGCATGGCATGTTCATTTCCTGCTCTCTCTGTGTCTGGCTGGTGACTTCTGACTCCTCCCTTCTCCACCCCATCATCCTTAGAGTGGTTGCCTTGCCTATACTTCCTGCCTGGTTATTGGCCAATCAGCATTTTAGTAAGCCAATTTGAGTGACAAATCTTTACAGTGTATAAGAGGATTATTCCACAGCAGCAATCAACCTGTCCAAGTTCAGGGGCAGTATGGAGTCACGATGAGGAGGAGACTCTGTCAAAACCTAAGCTGAGACTATATGGTCCCACCTGATCTTGAAACCAAGATTTTCAAAGACACAACTAGCCAGTGTCAATGTGCATTTCTGGAATGAGCTATTAATGTACTGCCACACCTTGTCCAAAGGTCCCCCTTGATTCTAATATAAACCCAGGAGCCATTCCACTGGGTCATCCCCACACGACTGCCTCTAAGTCAGCACATCTCCCAGCTCCGTCTCTTCTCTACTGAGCCTGGAGGATGGAGACAGCTGTGATGTACATGTGCAGTGTTTAATCAGTGGCAGCTGCAGGGGATGATTCAGCACATGTGTCTGCTTCCAGGCACACCGCAGGACTGCCCAAGGAAAGGGATGTTGGTGCCTCTGAGAACTGGGTTCCATTCAGCACATGTGTCTGCTTCCAGGCACACCACAGGACTGCCCAAGGAAAGGGATGCCGGTGCCTCTGAGAACTGGGTTCCATTTCAGGACTGCCTTCATATGGTATGACTCAGGGCCCGGGCTCTGCTTGGCAGGAGGCAGTGAGAGCAAGTTAACAGGGCTGGAAAAGTGGCACCCAGCATGATGGGTGGTGGTTAGGGAGTGAGGTTATTTTGAGTCCCTTTGAGACAGGCACACAGCAGTAAGGTCAAAAGTACCCCCACCCCCATGCCTGTTTCAGGGTGCCAGATCCTGCACAGCATGCTCTCTCCTAAATCTTACCTCCTAGGTTTCTGAAAATAATCCATTACCCAGGAGCTGGAACATTCTAGTACACAGACATCCCTTTCTTTTCTTTCCCTGGCATTCCCTCTATATCACTGGGACCTAAGTACACTCTATGTCATCTTAATTCAAGCAATGCTTACTAAATGCCTCCATAACCAAGTTGAGATCTTGATACAGGAAATCAAGAAGTGAATGACAGAGATCTGGTCCCACTGTCAAGCACTAGAGTTTCCCATGGACAGTCACTGGGAACTGCTTCAGTGAACAGTTTCTCTAAGGGTATCTGATAGTTTCATCTTGCCTGGTCCATGGGACTATTTGAGAAAAAGTCAGGGTAGATCCCCCAAAGAGCTAATGACCCAGGTTCTAAGACCCTAATCCTTACTCCTACCCCTAGTAATTTCCCCTCTCTCTCATATGTACACATATATATTACCGTGTGTGTGTGTGTGTGTGTGTGTGTGTGTGTGTGTGTGTGGTCACATATCCCAGGCTGGCCTTGAACTCTCTGTATAGCCAAGGATAACCTTAAACTTCTTATCCACCTGCCTCTATCCTCTCAAGGCTGGGAGTGCAGGCAGGTGTCATGCCTGGTTTATGAGTTGCTAGAGATCGAATCCTGGGCTTTGCGCACTGCACTCTAGACAAGTATTTTTGTCAACTGAGCTAAATCGTAGCCCATGAAAACTATGTTTGATACCTTAAGAATACGATTTGGATACCTCCCCCCTGTTTGTCCCAGGTACTGTTTCCTTTGTAGATAATAATCTGGAACCCCTAATTGTGATTCTATTACTAGTTGGAACAGGCACAGGCAACCTCTTGGTCTATACTTCCATGGGAACCACCAGGAAAGAGCTTTAGATTGAGATAGAAAAATCACCCATTATTATAATTCCCACCTGAGATACATGACTTGGGCCAGGGGTTCACTTGCCTTATTGATGTGAACAAGTCAGATTTCTCATGAGCACCTGCAACCCCAGGGTGTTTAACCATCAACTTCGTGTAAGTATCATCATGGAGCTCTGCTGCGTTGGGAACGCACATCGAATAGGATGATCTAATTCCTCGCATGACCCAGAGACCCCTCTTCACGTAGCTACAGGAGCCTCTGAGCTCCAGACATTCTTCTTGCTTGGAGACCTTATTACAAGTAGCAGGAGCCACGCACAGCATACCCGCAGCCCAGGGGACCCATCTCCGCACTGAAGTCAGGCCAGCTTGCAGTGCATCCTTCTCTTCCAGATTCTTCGCTGTTGTCCCAGGAGCCCAGGCTTCCTTTACCTCGGTGAGGTGGCCTTGACAACTGCAGCCACCTAGAGACCTTTTGGGAAGATTCAGCCAGGAATATAATGCATGGTACTGTTGGAATGGGGTACCCGGGAGGCGAGGGGCCAGAGAATCACCAGCTGGAAGCTGCAGGCTGCTTCTGTGATTCCCTCTTGGAACTCTCACCTTCCCTTACTTGGATGGAGGTCGAACAAGTGAGTTTATCTGTTCTCTGGGTAGCTAATAGAGTGAAGGGTTTCAGAAGGCAAAGAAGGACATGGGGCGGGAAACACAATCAGCAATATCAGTATCGCCCAGGACCTGGCCCTCCCGAGCCAAGCCCATCTGTGTTTGCCTTTCATGGAATATTAATTGGGCAGCAGCCTTTTCAGGCCAAATAATTCCCTGTGGCCTGAAGCTACCATTCTGGATCTGCAGACAGTATTGAGGCATTCTGTCAAATCCCCAAGTTTTAAATTCTTTCTTGAGCTACAAAACCCCATTCTGTTCAAAGCTGAATCGAGTTAACGGTGATAAGGAAAGCCCTGGGTTCCGATGTTGTTCCTTGTTTGTTTTTTTTTTTTTTTTAAAGATCTCAAGTAGCTCAGGCTAGCCTTGAACTCACTATGGAGCTGAAGGTGACCTTGAATTTCTGATCCTCCTGTCTCTACCTCCCCAGTGCTAAAATTATGCACCAGCACTGCCAGTCCACTTCATGCAGTGCTGAAGATGGGATTAGGGGCTTTGTGCATGCCAGGTACGCCCTCTACCAACTAAGCTACCTGTCTCAAGGTTATTCTTCTACAGGGGACATTGAGGGCCAGTTGAGATGGCTCAGTAGATAAAGGTGCTTGCCATGTAAGCCCAGTGGCCTGACTTGAGTTTGATCCCTGCAGTGAATGCATGGTGAAGGAGAGAATTGATTCCAAAAGTTGTCCTCTGACTTCTGCACATATGCTGTGGTATGTCTGCACCTGCAGTCTCTCTCTCTCTCTCTCTCTCTCTCTCTCTCTCTCTCTCTCTCTCTCTCACACACACACACACACACACACACACACACACATACACACACACACATATACACACACACACACACCACCACCACCACCACCAGCAACAACAAATAAAAGAACATGCCAGTGAGAGACCCTGTCTCAAAAACGGAGGTAGATCTTGCCTGAGGAATGACAACCAAGGTTGGTACCCCAATACGCATATGTGCACACATGTGTATATACACATGCACCTGCATACAAATGCACACACACTCACACACACACCATAGGGCGT